AAATTCTATTTTTAAATATTTATTTTTTATTTTTAATTATTTTTATTTATTTTATTTTTCTTTAAATAAAAGATTTTCTACTCAACATTCGTGCATTTAAAATTATTATAGCTTGCTAGTTTTTAGTAAATTTTATTATAGTATTTCTTCAATATCTAACATTTTTTTTTATAATATATAAGTATATTTTTGAAAAAAAGTCTCTTATAATAAATTCTAAACTGTAACATATCAATTTTTTTTAAAAAATTTTTTGCAATATGTAACAAGAAATTTTAACAACAGTAATAGCTAAATTTGGATTGTTATATAAAGATGCTAAATATCTTGCATTTAAAGATCTTCTTAATAATATAATTCTTTATGTTCTAGATATTTACACTGTATTTTTTAGATTTAGCAACTTCAACTCTTATTTTGAATTTTGTTTTTATATTTAGATAATATTCTTTAAGTTTAGTCTTTGAAATTATTTTAAGTCAGCTTTAATATTTCTTTCTAACATCTTTTACTGTAAGTAAAACAAACATCTAATTTTAGAAACATTAAAAGCAAAGCTTCCTAAGTTTTCAGATTTGACTATTAAAATATTTCACAGTTTTTTGTATCAAAATATGCAAAAAACATACTGAAGCATATAATATTATTAAATGCAAATGTTATATTAATTACTTAAGTTTGGACAATGGTTTTAAAGAAAACTTTACATATATATTAATATGGGCAGTTTATAAATATTTAGTGCACAATATTATGGTTTTAATGAAAAAACTGTATGCTTTCTTTTATAATATTTTTCAGAGATTTATATATGCTTATTTATTATAAAATTCTATTAATATATCAATTACAGGTTGATCTAAATCTATCACCTTCAAAAAAAAAAAGAAGAACCTAATTACAATTTGATTTTATTGGCAGTAATGAAAATATCAGAAGTATAATTATATCATCTTTCTTTAGATTTTAGTTTATTATATAAATTTGACTCTTCATGACATTATGATGTATCTAATTGTTTTTTTATTTTTTTTTCTATAAATACAGAAATGTTTGTAGTTTTAACCTGTAACTATATATATTATAATTCTTGTTACATTAATAACAGGTTCAAATACATATATTGTTTTATATTCTTGTAAAAAGATGTTGATAAACAAGTTCAATTATTGTTAACTTTTTTATAAGAGAAAAATTCTAAAAAGAAACAAGTTAAAAAATATAATAATGATTCTTCTGACAATAATAATAATAAAAGTATATCAGTAAAATATTCAATATCTGTGTTAGAAGAAACATTATAAAAATTTTAATTATTATATTAGTAAAACTTTTTTTATATACAAATTTTTTTTTATTAAAAACTTTGATGTTTTTTATTAAATTTATTTATTATTGTATTACAAATTCATTACTCAATTTCTTATTGTATTATTTATCAATGCATTTCATTATAATTTTGTAAATTTGCTTATTATTTCTTATGATTTTGAATCTAATATATGAAAACAGATGGTAATAACAAATTAATATATTAAAGCAATAAAGATTAAAAAAACCCTAAGATAGGCAAAATAATAATGTAACCTAATACTTACATATATATTATTACTAATTCTTGCTTACGACAAATAATTATTATCCTATTACTAGAGTTTAGGGCATAGGGGCATGAGGCATGCCTCTAAGGGCATGCTCCTAAGGCATGCCTATGGGCATGCCTCAAGTCCAAAGGGCATGCCCTTGTCATATGATGTTTAAAGTTATTTTAATTGGCTAATAAGTTCAGGTAAACTAGAACCGTAGATACTAAATCAACATGTAAGATTTTTAAGAAGTTGTGAACTATGTGTTAATCACATGATTTAAAAAGGGCATGCCCATGGGCATGAGGGGCATGCCTTAGCTCAGGGGCATGCCCATATAGGCATGCCCAATTTTTTTCCTATGCCCTGAACTCTACCTATTACATTTGGTAAATATAATCTAAAAAATAAATTTAAACTCAACAAGCAGATTGTGATTTTGTTTATATTATAATTCTATATTTATTATTATTTATTACACAAGAAAACTAAAAGAAATAATCGGATATAATAAGTAATAGTTGCTAAAGATGGAATAATAAAGAAAAATTTTTCGTTAATGATAAATTAATTAACTGACTGATCGATTTGATTGGTCAATTATCATGGGAAATCACGGGTAGATCATCAGAAATTAACCAATCACATGAATGTCTTCCCATGATACTTTAGATTAAATGATAGTCTATTCCGATTTATTCCGTCAAGGTTATATAATGAACAAAATTACATAATTGGAGAGTTATTTATTAAACCTATCAACTGATCTTGATAAGTTCAATATAAGAATCTATTGAAATTTTGCAAAATGTGACTTTTACTTTGTCCTTCCCAGCTTAAACCAATAAAAAAAAAAGACCTATTAAAAAGTTAGGTATCATCCAATTCTTCATTTTCTAGTATTTGTTCTTTATCATATTCAATAATTAATGTTTGACATTGTTTAATTGTACCTTTAAATTTATTTTGAAGATTAATATTAGAATAATAAAACAAATTAATTAAATAATTTAAATAACTTTACCTCCTACATGCAAAACTCTTATGGTACATGTTCTCGAATTTATTTGTGTTATAAAAGTTAGCGCACACCACACAATGCGATAATGATCTCTTGACACCCGTAATAATCCAATATTTGTATGTGGCGAATAATACTTTACTATTCAAGTGATTATGGGCCAATTAATATAATAATCAAAAGTTTTTTTTAAAGAATATGAATATAGAGTACCATTTAGTGAAGAAGAGACACATCCACGCCCGTAGTCTCCAAAATTTAATTGAATAGATTCTTTTACGGTTGTAAAAATATCATGAGATGTTAATGAATCGACTGACGTATCTTGTTGAGATGTGTCTTCAAATAAAGTTTCAAACAAAATCCATCGATGTTTTAAACGAACCATCTTTTTAAAATCGGCTCTATATAAGGTTGTAAAATTGCCGTAATTTTATGTAAGTTTCGGTAAATTAAAATTTGTAATGATGTTTTTATGTAAATTTAAAATTTCATCATTTCAATACGGATAATTAAATTTAATATGGGTCAAAACTTTTTGTAATGCCAATGCTTTACACATCACATGTCGTTACGTAAATACCATTTTTTTAAAAAAACCGCTGTAACTCAATATCTCGTCTATGTAGACCTTAATGTAATGTTTTATGACTTTTAAAAAAATTGTTGATTAGTGAAAATCTGTCGGTGCTACTGGGTACGTACTCAATTAAACCCACGGATATGTAAGCGATTTACGCATAGAGATAGTGATGGCGATAACGATAAATTTTGTAACATTCAGGAGCTGTTTCCATATTTGGGGAATATTAGTCTTGCATTTGATTGTCACATGGTGATATTATCTATAGAACGTTTCATACCGGAGTTACATACACTCTTAATTTTAGTTCGGTTTGAATGAGGCAATGGCGTCTCAAGCAACATCAGATTTAGTTATAGATGCAAGGTGTGAGATAGGAGGGCAAAGTGGAATAATTCGTTATATTGGAACCACCGAATTTGCTCCCGGTAAATGGGTCGGTGTTGAGCTGGATGATCCATCGGGAAAGAACAATGGTTGTGTTAAAGGCAAACATTATTTTGATTGTAAACCAAATCATGGAGTTTTTGTTAGAGCTTCACAAGTAAAAATACCTTCTAGCTCGGCTCCTACGCTTCGAACTCCGGTAAGGCTACTTAAAAAAAAAATTTAGAGTTAAATTAATTGTTTTAGTCAAAATATTTCATATTTCTCTTTTGCTAAATATTTTAATTAGTCGACGCCAAGTTTTGCACCGCCAAATGCAAATGATGCTGCTCCTTTAAGGCAGCGCCCAGCTTCAATGATTTTTCCATCATCAAATAGAAACAGTATTTCTGGGATACCTAACGCTAATCGATTATCAAGGGGGCCGGGTTCATTTGGATATACACGCGGTCCAAATAGTCCTACACTTCAAAGAAGACCACGTGGATATTCTGATGCCAGCAACCCTGATCAAAAAAGACATGATTTTGACTCTTTATATTTCAATCAAGATAATCAAGATTTAAATGAGGATTATCCTGAACACGATGATGAACATATTGGTGATGAATATGAAGCTGGTGCTTCAGCGCTCAAAAGTGATTTGCCAAAACATTTAGAAACTCCAAGACATGAGACTGCTAACGCACCAGATCCGTTTTCTTTACAGGAAACGCGCGAACAAGTATACCATGTTTTTTCCTCAAAATTGAATTTCATAGTATATTCAATAAATCCATGCTTATGTGGGTCTATTTTATCATCAGACTGTTTCTCAAAAAGAGTACGACGAGCTGAGAATGAAACTTAAAATATTGGAAAATAAGCGTCAAGAAGATAGGGAAAGAATTCGTGAAACTGATAAAATGAGAGCTGATGCTGAACAAATATTGAGCATAAAACCTAAATTGCAAGGTACCTTAATGCATACATTTATTTTGAATAATTATTTATCAATCTGATACTTTAACTTTTTTTCATGTATTTTTTAGCCAAAATGGCAGAAATGCAGCAAGAATTACGTGAACTTAGGAAGCAATTGAAAGAAGTTAATTCAGAGAAAGAAGCTTTCGAGGGCAAATATAATGAAGCAGCTGAGTCCATGGAAATAATGGCCATTGATAAAGAAGTGGCTGAAGAAAAAGCTGATCAGTTACAACAAGAAGTTAATTTGTTGAAGGAAAAGATTGAGGAAATTAGTGTAGATTTAACTGTATTTAAAAAACATGAAAGTGGTGAGTTATTTTATCTATATATATATGTATGATTGTTTTTTATAAAATCTGATTATAACTGATTTATTCAGGATTAAGTGATGAAACAAGACAAGCCATTGAATATGCTCAACTTGAGAAACAAAATGAGCGACTTAAAGAGGCTCTTTTCAGGTACTATAGCCGTTTGAAAGAACATTATAAATAACAATATTATTATAAATAACAATATTATTCTAAATAATAATAATAATAATAACAATGATAGACTTCGTGAAGTTACAAGTGAATCTGAAGCTGATTTAAGTAAGAAGATCAAGGTTTTAGAAAAAGAATTGTCATCTCTTCAAGATATTCAAGGTTATTATCGCTTCGAATCGTCTAATTCAAATTCATGTTGTTTTTGTAAAGTTTTAACAACTTGATTAAAATAATTAATTTCATTGACAGTACAACGTGATCATCTGAAAAATCAATTGGATGCTTCTGAAATTGCTATTGAAGATTTAAAGAGCCGCCTAGATGATGTCATGCATAATGAAGATATGCTTGAACAACTTACTCAACAAAATCTGTTACAAGGAGAGGTGAATTTATTACTAGAGTTTACATTAGTTTTTGTCATTGGAACTTAATAACACTTTTAAATTTGGATACTATTAGCAACTTGAAGAAATGAAAATGACCATTGACGATCTTGAAGCCTTAAAAGAATTGAACGATGAACTTGAAGAGTCTCATATTGAAAATGAGAAACAACTTCAAGCAGAAATCGGTAAGTTGTGAATGTCAGATACTCCCTTTATGAATCGTCTAATTTTAAACTAAATTTTACTTATTTCTTTTTACCACAGATCACAAAGACATGCTTATTCGTGAATATTTGAGGCGAATTGAGTCAACAGACGAGGCAAATGCAGATTATGAAAACACAATCACTAATTTCCGCGAACTTGTTGCTACGTTGCAAAGGTAAAGATTTTAAATAAATCAAGTAAAATAAAATAATTAAAGAAAACTTAATTTATAATGCAGTGATTTGGAACAATTTCGTCGAAAGGAGGAAAATCAAAATTCAGGAACAGACAATCTTGGTAGCGAATCTCAAAAAATGCTTGACTTAAAACTTCAGTTAAGTAATACTGAACTTAAGAATCAAGCCAAGCAAATTGATCTGGAACTTCGAAAATTGGATGCTACACAAGCAACTGAGCATTTGGCCTATGTTCAGGTAGATTTACTCAACAATTTAATATATGTTCTTGCATAGATTATTGCATGATTAATGATTGACAACCTTCAATAATTCAATAATTCTTCATTGCTTTTCTACATTTTTTTAGCCCTATTTACCTGATACCTTCTTCCATACCGAAAATGATTCAATTCATTGCTTGCTATTGTTAAAGAGACTCGTATTCAAATCAGAGTTAATTATTAAACAGGTCGATCAGATACATAATATTCCCGACAAATTAAACACGACTGTTCCGGAACAATTAATTTCAGTTTGCGATGTATGTTTGAATATTCGTTAATATTTATTGAACTTTATTATGATGTTCATACTTCGTTTATCAAATTAATAGCTGCGGCAAAAATTAGCGTGGTTTTCCGATTTGTCAAAACGTTTTATTACTTTCATAAATGGTTGTCCAGTTGAAACCTTTTTAAATATGGGTCAAGTCTATCGAGATCTCATTGGAACAGAGCGTCGGTCCGTATATTGCTATGTTCTTTATTAATCAGGTTCTTTTTGTGTATTAACAATAATCTCATGTTAACAGTATAGACACGATTGTAGATTTATTGAGAAAAGAAGAACTAAAAGAATCTGAAAATATTGACATTGTTCAAAGGTTTGTAATTGTCTTAATAAATTTTTATTGTCTTTCATATATTCTAACATTCTTTCATTGGACAGATCAATATCACAATTAGAATATTTTGCAGAGAGATATCTTACCAACACTAAAATCGACGAGTTTGATAAATTCTATTCATTCGGCAGAGCATTAGATTTAAATGCTGATACTATTGCAGTAACACTTGGTCATTTAAAACAAGCTGTTGCGACAGCATGTAAAGACGAAGGTCAGATAGTAATAATTTATAATTAACTATTTATGATTACTTTACATATCCATTTTAAAGATTTGTTTATGCGTTCTTTAGAAATTATTGTATCTGATAGCCCTGAAGATTTCCATTCTGGATTCTTCCAACCTTTGCAAGCATTAGTATCACAATCTCGAAGTAGTAAAGTAATGGCAAGGTATGGAAATATTTGTGTTTAAATTGTAGAAATTAATTATAATCAATATTTTTCATTTAAAGGAAATTACTTCGTCGTCTTGATGACTTGGCTGGAAAGTCATCATCTTTGAAATCCGATCTTTTGGCGCAATTTAAGACGTGTCATTCATTAAGCACAAAATTGTCAAATTTCTGTTTTGAGGTTTGTTAGAATAATATATTTTTAAGCTCTTTTGTTCAGATATGTTTATTATTATTATTATTTTAAATTAGGTTTGGAGGGGTGTTTCTGATTATATTAATGGAAAGAAAGGCACAAAGGATGAATTAAAGCTTGTTGGACTTCATCAAATTATTTACACTGTCACTGAAAATATATTGAGTATCAACGAAATGAAGATGTGGGAAGGCTGTACAAAATCATTGCAAGATTTATGCCAAGAAATCGTTAATCTCAATAATGTTATTAACGATCCTGATAAAACAGAAACTGGTATGATTGGTGTTTTTTTTAATAGTGAAAATATAATTCTCTGCTTGGTAGTCAAATAGTTCGAATTTTAACTGTTAATTTATCAAACCTAATTATTAAAGTTACCAAACATGAAGCTCCATGGGTTATTCAGTCCAAAGAATTAAAGGCTGAAGTTATTATAAACGTCGACATGGAACGTAAATTGCAACAATCTGGTGAAAAAATTCAAGAACTACTTAAAGATATGAAATTAAAGGTATATGAGGATTTATTTAAAATTCTATTTTTTTCGTCCGTATTAACCTCCGATTGTATGCATTTAAAGGATAATGCTTTACATGAAGCAGGTGTCAAAATTGGGTTACTGGAGAGACGTGTGGAAATTGTTAAGCAACAGGTAATATATATATATTGTGTTTATATTCAAATTTATATTCTAACGTCTTTTCATATATGTACAGGCTGACAGGATTAATTCTCTAGAACAAGAGCTTGCTAATAAAACCAAGCAAGAATCAGAATTTGAGGAAGTTTTTGGTAAACTTCACCAAGATATCGAGAATTTGGGACAACAGAATCAACAATATTCTACTCTGATTGCTAAACTTGACGGAAAAGGTTTATATTCCTCTTTACTTATCATATTGATTTGACCCAGTCGAATCTAATAGTTAATTATTAAATACAAGTAATTTTTCAAAAACTATTAATCCAAATTAGTTCAAATTTTATGTTATAAATCTTATTATTTATAATAAAATTTGAGCCAATTTGTATTATTAGTTATTAAGAAATCATTAGTTCAAAAAAAATGCAAAAACAATTTTAGCTGGGTTAGCTTACGTGGAATGGGCGTTTAATACTCTAATATATCAATAAATTATATTTATTGCTTAATAGAAATACCATCCGAGCCACAACATCACCCTAATCATGATGAAACTGAACGTGACGAAGATATGATGATATCATCAACTAGCCCTTTAGAAACCCAGCGTTTAACTAACCAGGTATTTGTAGGACAGGTCATTGTCGCCATTCATTGCACGTTTTACTCACTGCTTATTCCCTTTTAGATTGAATCCCTCAAATTCGCAGTCCGTTATTTAAGAGCAGAGAATTCTCATCTGAAAGGAAAGGAAGCATTGAGTGTGTTGAACTGGCATCTACAGCCAAAGAGATATCGTGGCATTCAAAATCAAAATAATAGTGAACAGTTATCGAATATTGCTCAGGAAGCAAAATCATTGCTTAAAGTATTTATTCATTCATTGTCTTTAATTTTGGTTTAATTTATCTGCAGTCGCATATTAATTTGACATTCGGATTGTAGGACTTCCGTTCCAAGAGTTCGTCACCTCGTGTTGTTCACATTACCAAAACATTAGAAGGCAAAAATAAATGGCAGTCGGTACAGAAATCACCAGTTTATCAATATCAATTACAGCAATCTGTTATGTACACATTCCAAAAACGAAGCTACGACTTGAAGTCAAAACTACAACAGTTGGGCAAGACAAACTTACAAAAATCTCAGAAGCCCTCAAAGGTGTGTTTTAATTTTTTTTTTTTTTTTTTTTATAATTCACCATTTAACATTTATTATCAAATATTTAGAATGGTGTTGTAGATACACAGCCTTCTCTTATTGGGCGGATACGACTTCCTCTTTTAGACACCAGCAATACGCATACACATAACATTACTCTTAAAAATCCCTCTGATTTTGAAAAGATTCATACTATATTTGTTAATTGATTCATATATTCTTAATGTACTAATATTCTTTTTTTTTTTTTTAAAAAAAAAAAAAAACTTATTAGATATAAAAAGGTAGCGCTGATTATTAACACCATGGACATTTATGTTATGTTTATTTCATCTCATTTATTGACTGGTTTTATCTAGAAGTTTTTCTCGCATATTTATTTATATATACCATTATAAACATGATTCACAAATATTTTAGCTCAATTATTAATTTTACTTCGAATAGTCAAAGTAGACATCAATAAACGATTTAGTTTTTGTATGATATAGTATATAGTTTTTTTATTTATATAAAATTAAAATTTTATTGAGAGCTTTTATTTATGGATAATATAGTTTTTTTTTTAGCAAATGCTTAAGCACATAATTAACTCATACAGGAGGTCCCAAAATTCTGGGTCGGAAGGCATCGGAAACCTGTTCGGCAGGGTGAGAATTGAAAAATTTTGCCTATAGGATAACTTTCTCGTGATTGGTCAATCACACGAAATTGAATGGTGATTTATAATTGGTTAAACATTCGAACATGTGATAATTAACCAATAAAATTCTTTATTCAAATATTCTTTGGCTTTAAAATTTCTTATATTATTAATATAACGAAATGTCACTATTCTGAAACGTCGCAATTCTTGTCTTTAAAAAGCTTAAACTATTTTTAATAACCCTCTAGCATATGTATATAGATCTTCGTTTCTTTAATCTTATAAATTTTACTTTTAGACATTACAACTATTAGCATCGCTTATTTGTACTCCTATATATTGAAAATTTAATTAATAAAGCTTTATTTTCAATATTTTCTTTGAATAATAAAAAAGTACAGCAGTAAAGAAGCGCAGAACCACGCGATTTCACAATAAATAATGTGTTTATTATCTCATTACTATTTTTTTAAGTTGAAAAACTGTCTCTAAGTGAAGTATACCTAGGCAAGGTAAATTCCAGAGATACATAAGATTCTTAAAGCTTCGTTTGTAAAGTCTTTTGTAATATTATAAATGGAGATTACATTTTAAAAAAAAAAATTTACTATGTTAGGAGGTAAAAATACTCTAAACTGTATAAATTCAATTGAATAAAATTAACCAATCACGAGAAAGTTAGCTTATATAATGGAACTATTAAGTAAAACGCTTAGCTAATCATTCTGCTATAGACTGTACTTATACGTATACTATATGAGTGACGAAAAAGGAAAACCTGTAAATCATTTCACTTATTATGTGAAATGATTTACAGGTTTTTCCTTTTTGTCACTCATATAAGGTATTATGGCGAAGCTAACATTGCTACTAATAAAAGTTTAGCAAAAATTTTTATTTTTGATAAATTTTTTAAAATTCATATAAATTTTATCATGCTTTATAATTTTATGTAAAAAAAATCGAATTTTTTATAAATTATGTAATGCTACTTAGAGGGTTATAACTTTTAATTTCATGAGGGTATTATGATGAATGATATGCAGATTGACGATCATTAGATATAAGTAAATTTCAAATACTGAAATATGAAAAAGATTACTGTTACAGTACATTCGTTGTTACTATTATCTTTTTTTTTTTTACCAAAGTTTTTTTTTTCTTTTTTGATAATTTGTTTCAGTTTTTTTTCTTTCTTTTTCAGCTTTTTTTTTTCTCTTTTAGCTTTTTTTTTTTCTTTTTCTAATTCACATCTTCCCACTTTTGGGCATCAGCTTCTTTTTTTCTTTTCACATTTTTAACTTTCATTCTAGTTAATTCTTCTGGTTCTTTCAACTTCTGCAAAAAATCTTCATTGATAAGAAGTTTGACAAATAGAAATATTTTTCTTTTTTTTGTAGATCGGGATTAAAATTTGGTGTTATTAGATTCTTGTTCAGTAGTTTATAAAGAAAGATAAGAAGTCGAGTACTTAAATGCTATTTTTAATGAGCAGGTATTGGAGGTTTTAAAAGTCTCTAGTTCTTCACTTATTAACTTATACTTTTGTTTCAATAATTCATTTTCTTTTTTTAAAATCTCAATCTTTTTTTCAAGAGATATAAAATTTGCTTTTAATGATTCTGTTTTACATCGAGTAGCATACTTATGAGTTATTAAAAGAGATATAACAAAATTTGGTTGAAGAGAAGAAGATGTAGATGAAGAATTTTGTTGATTAGAATAAGATGAAAATGAAAAACTTGGTTGAGAAGAATGAGGATAAGATAAGGATAAAAGATCAACTCGTTCTATTATTAATGAAGGGACAAAATGGTCAGAACTTATTGTATTGGAATTAAGTAGTCAAATTTCTGTAATTCTATAGGAATTTTTAATTGCTTCTAGAGTATAGGTTGTTGCAAATGCTGCTCGAGAATTCTTGCAAATGTATGCTTGGTTGGCACTTCACCTTTGCTATTATGAAGCTAGTCACAACTCTTACTATATTCACTTTTAAGTGTGACAAAGAGAAGTTCAGAGGGTTGAAGAATGTGAGTCATATGAGGAGGAAGTGCATATAATAAAACTCTATTCTCATTACAATATTTTATATTTGTATAGTTAATATGGCTCTTATGCTCATTGAGCATAAGCAAAACTGGACAAGAAAGAAGAATCAATCTGACAAAATGCTTGATATATATTTAAAAGAGTTCCTTTCTCATATATTCAGAATCAGTGAAACCCATAACAGAGCCACATGGGGCATCAGATAATAAACCTATGATTGCACAAATATCTTTATAAATGAATAGTGAAGGAATAAAATCACCAACGACTGAGATTGTTGGTGCGACAGAAATATGTTCATATGTATTTTCTTATAAGATTTTATGAACTTGACAAGCTCTTTTTAAAGAGTTGGTACTATAAAATTTTGAAATAATAGCATGGACATTATTTTGATTTTTAAGTTTAAAAATTAAAATAATGTCCATGCCTGCTATTTTGAGAATTTAAGATAATAAAATTAACTTATTGGTTATGTAAATTAATAACATGTTTAATTTTTTAATTACTAACCTTTTGTCATGAGAACTTTTTGGACTTTGGGAGTAATAATGAAGCCAGTCTCATCTATATTCCATATGCAGTCTGGGGTAAGTGAATATTCTTCAATTATCTTTCCTAATTTATCAAAATGATCTTTTATTATTGTTGGATTTGCTCTTTGGGCATGTGCTTCTGTTAAAACCTGAGGCATTTGAAAAAACAAGTCTGGATGGTCCTTCATGAAATGATTTCACCAAGCTCTTCTAGGCCCTTTAACTGCAAATAGATAGAAATGATTATCATTGCATACTATCTCCATCATACAATGATTCATACCTGATTTCATTAAGCCAAATTCCAACTTCTGCATATTTTTGCAGTAACCTACTAATTGTTCTTCTTCATGTTTACTTAGAACTGTCCCAGGGTCAAAACATTTGGGTAAACCTTTTTCAACAGCATGCCTAAGTGTTGTCTCTGAAATTCCAAAGCTTGAGGCAGTTAAATTTATACTAGGATTCATGGGGCCTGCAAGTTCTTTAAGTGCAGCTTCAATTGTGATATAATGATCTTTATGACTAAGCCTTATTGTTTTTTTATTAGATGTTTTTTTAGATACAGGTTTTGTTTTTTTAATTTTGTCCTTCAAATTTAATTTTTTTACATATTTGGATTTAGTATTTTTAATGGTTTTCATTTTTTGGTTTAATAATTAACTATATTAGTGGATTTAAAAAATAATTTTTGAACAAAAATAATTGTGATTTATTGATACTTCGGAATCAGAACTGTTGAATTTTGAATTTTTAAAGCATTTAAATAGCATCCTTTTATTGCAAGATAATAAAGAACTGTAATTTATTTTTATTGGATACGAATAACAAATAAAAGTATTAATTGTACTCACTATAAAAATTTTACTTTAATTGTATTTTGCAAAATTATGCAACCTTTATGATTAATTGATTATAAAATGATTGTGATTGTAATTAATGAATAAAATAAATTGATCAGCTCTAAAAATCACAATCACAATCATATTTTCAAATTAGATCTATAGTGAATGTAAAGTTAGAATTGTGCACATGCAATTGTACAAGGCTTTTCAAGTAAAATTTAGTTAGTTTTTATGAGCTAGCTTTATGCATATAGAGATTTATATATACAGTAGTGTTTTTGTTTTAATTTTCTTTTATAATTTAGCAATTTATAAAATTAATTACTATTACCTTTTAAATCAAGTTACTAATTATTTTTGATATATCAATAGTTGAATCTGCATCAAAAGTGTTATAAGTCACATGATTATATCAGGGAGAAAAGAAAAGTAAGCACTATGATCATAATTACTATTGTTTATAAATTTGATAATCTTTATATTTCTTGTCATCTTGGTAAGTCATTCTCAACAAAAAAGAATTTGAACAAAAACATTTTGCCATATATAGTCAGACTTCTCTAAGTGCACATCCTTGAGACTACACTTTAATAATGTGCATATAGAGAATAATAAGAAAAGGTGCATTTAGAAAGGTTAAGTATATATTTGTGCCAGCACTTGATCATGCATTTAGAGAGGATATGCACTTATAGAGGGTGCACTTAGAAAGGTCTGACTGTACTAAAGTTTAGCTTTATATGATTTTAGGATTTTTTTTATTGTTCAAATGATAAAACTTTTTAAAGTTGCTTAAGTTCAAACACTAATCATAGACTTATATTAAAATAATTGGCAACTGATCATTTAATAAAGAAAAAATATTTATTTATATAAATTTATTGTTATTCATTTTTGTTTAAATTCATCAATTATAGCAACTTTTAAAAACATTAAAAAATCATGTATTCACTATTGCTTAAACATTTATCAAATTTTTTTTTTAAAAAAAAATTTAATCTGTTGCTACCTTTATTCAATAAACAAGATGTCACTATCTAGGCAATATAAAAAAAAAAAGAAATAGCTTATTAAATTACCATATATCATTAAATATAAAGAGAACATGAAAAAAGTGATGTATTATCAACTGATCTATAAACCTATTATAAATAAAGATTTAATTATTGAAGAATTTGAAACTGAAGAAACACTGAAAGCAGTCAGTTGTGAACAAAAAAGAAAGAAATCTCATGAAATTAATAAGAATTCTTCACACAATATAATTATGATCAACTCATCTTATGAAAAAATTAATAAGAATTCTTCACATGATTGGATCATAATCGATTCACCTTAAATCTTTTATAATAAAACTTAAATACCATCTTAAATTTAGTCTGTGAAAAAATTAAGAGTTCTTATTAACAATTTGTATAGATTAAATCTGCAATTCTCTTTTATTTGAAATGTAAATTGATATGATTTTTTAGTTAGTAATAGTAATGAAAACTTCATAAATAGTAAACATTAGCTTATAAAGCATCTACAATTTATACTTGACAAATGATTAAAGTTTGGGTTTGTCTATACCCAAGTCTCAAATCCTGGCTAAAATAATATTTCAAAAACTTTATTAATATTGGACTTCATTTATCAACTTAATCATCACATTCTTCACAGTAGCAATATACATAATTTTTATCTAAACAATAAAATATAAGTTATTCTTAGAGTTACTGTTAAAATTCAGTCAGACCTCTATAAATGCATAGTTATAAATACACATTCTATATAAATTCTTTCTGATATAACTTGGTCCTATTTAATAAGAATTCTATGCAGTTGTTTTCTATAAATGCACATCTTTAATCAATTTTTTTTACTGTAGTTCCAAGAGGGTACATTTTGAAGGTCTGACTGCTGTATTTAGAAAAATTAATAGTTCATGCCAACATAGTACAAAGAAAAAAAAATTTATTTAAGTACAGTAAAATGAATAACTGCTAAAAAAATTACTGAGATTTATAGAAAAAGTTATAGTAAATATACCAGTGTTAGTGAAGAAAAAAGAAATGAACATAATTTTTGTAATGGTAATAATAGTATAAATGTGATTATCACAGTAATTTATATTAATTTTCTTAAGATAATAATTATTTTACACAAACTAGGATTTTTATTAAGCAAACCATATTTTATCTACTAAGTAAAGTTATCAGAAATACTGTTTTTCATATATTTTTAAAGTTTGATGCGATTTGGTTAACTTTTTATTAATCAACTTTCACAATATATGTTTTGGTATAGTAGATAAATTTTCTGCATCAAGCTGTATAATGTGAAAGTTAATTAATGAAAAGTTAACAAAATCATTCCAAACTTTAAAAATATATGTAATACAGCATTTCTGATAACTTTACTTAGTAAATGAAATATGATTTGTTTAGTAAAAAAATCGTGTTTCCTTGTTATATATTCAATTTATCACAATATCTACATTTGCTATAATACTCACACCCATTTTATAATGATTTGGATTGGTTTAGTTGATTTATAATTAAGAGTAATTTTTGGCAGATTTGTATTTTGAATCAAGTTTTTTTTTTTTTTTTTTTTTAAGAAGTAACATTTTTATTTAAGTTTTTGTAAGATACAGATGCCTTTAGGAGCTTTTTTACATTAGAAATTACAACTAGTTACATATGCATTTTTAAGTAGTTTGCTTATATATTATTATACAGGTTCTATACTAGCTATCATATTTGCAAGTCAACTATGAGCTTTGCTTATTTAAATCCTTTGTATATGTAATCTTTTTGTATTATAAAAACATTTTTAAAGCATAACTTATTTTTTTTAATATTTATTAATATTCTTAATATTATTTTATCTTTAATAGATAACTTATTAGAACTGTTATGTTTTATACTTAGCTAATTTAGTTTTATATACATGTTATAATTATCTTAATATTTGCAATTATAAAAATTATCTGTTTAATCATTACATTATATATATTATTTTTATTTTTGTAAAGTTTATTAAGACCTTAGTAATCATTTTTTTAATATCTTTTTTATTTATTTATTTATTTTTTGATATTAAGGTGAGTATATGCAATTCAAAATTTTATTAATAATATATATCGATTAGTATCTGTTAATATAACAGACACAAAAGCAATTATGAAAAAAGTATACAACTAGTTACTTATACAATTTTAGTTATTGTCTAATTTAAGTAGTTAATCTGAAAATTCTACACTAGTTGTTCTATCTAGGACCTATCTGTAGATTCTCTATTTAAATACTTTAATCTTATATCTATTATGTTCTACTAATAAAACTAATAAATTAATAAAGATATGTTATAGTTATTAAGGGTAGAGTATATGATTTTCAAATTATATATAAAACTTTTAGTAAATTTTTATTTAATTAAAAATAAAAAATATTTTCTTAAGTAAATAGCTTTTAAATATTAATTAAAAATTGTAGAATATGTTTTTCTGATTCTAATAATAGTAAATTCATTAAAATTGGTTA